AATTCAATAACTATTAAATAATATGATTTTAAAGTATGAATTAAGATGAAAGTAACCCACATGCTAATAAACTATATTACTCTTCCTTAATCAAAATGATAACGTTTCTAAATTCAAGAATACTATATCAAAATCAATAATAAAAATAAAAAACAAAGAATCATTATAAAATCCGGATACAAATTGCCTATTCATGATTTCCTTCAAATTAGGATATTCTATCATATAAAGAAAGTCTTCAAGTATTCCTCATCTCATCCTTAAAATTAGAATTCTAGAAAATGAAAGAAAAACCAATGTGAATGTTACCGCATAGAATCCTCAGTCAAGCTGTAAGAAAACATAACTATAATATAAATCCTTATGAGAAAGAAAAGAAAGAAAAAAAGTAACCAGATAGAAGAAGAAAAGTAAAAAGCAAGAACTGCATTCTATTGCAGGGAATAAAATGGAGCAGTACGCGAGAGATGAGGGGAGAAGCGAATGAATATCTACCTGAGTGGAGGGAATAGGGGATGACTTACCCCTTCTTCACCTAGGTATCATCACATTATACACTCGTTAACCCCGCACTCACACACATCACATTACACTCTCCTCACATGCATCACATCTACACCCAATTCATCACAAAACATAAGACAATAATCCAAAGAATCATCTCAAAAAGAATGGTATTTCATATTGCTACAAATATATCCTCACTTAATCGCCACCCCCATGCTACCTCATCCACCCCACTTATTCGCACATTTCAAGGATTTCCCTTTTCTTTCCCTAACAACCCACAATCCGTATGCCCCATATTCCAGCCTGGTATTTCCTCCAAATCTGATCAACAGGTTCATATTCTTATATCCCCCAAACTGAAAGAGCAAAAAAAAAGAAAGAAAAAAAGTAAACCCAGGCATATAATCATATCACAATTTCCATTGAACCATTCCATCCCCAGTATCAGAATAAAGAGCACAAAAGTCCAAACATATAACCCCAATCCATTGCATTCCCGTCTGACCGGTCGAAAATCCCTCCCTTTCATTCGGAAAAGCATCTAGGTTTCACTCTTCTTCGACAACTTGGTACTTGTGACAATAAACTGATGAACATCATCAAGGTCAACAATTCCAGAGTGTTGAATATACAAGATGATTTCCCGAGGTGCAATTCACAAAAGAAGTCAGAACCCCCCAAAACGAAAGAAAAAAAATGAAATTGTTATATCGAATGAAGGTCAACCTTGAGACTGAAAGCTCAAAAAGTTCCTCCAAAATTAATTAAGAAGTCTGTTTCTCGAAAAGTATTCATCATCTTCGTCAAAACACTAGCGATTGCAAGAAACCTCCGATTCCTGCATCGAAATATGCACAATGTCGAATGCAATATCAAATTGTCCTTTTTGTTCAACAAGTTAAAGTAAAGATCGGATAATCAAAAAATAGGATCTACCTATAAAATGATTTACTCAAACATCTTAAAATATGGAGCTTTTGCGTTTCTCAGCGCTAGTAAGAACAAGCATTGGTGCTTTCTTTTGAAAAGCAGCTACTTCAGGCTTCTTTCCACCATTCTTAAAGACAGCAGCGAAGCTACCACCAATTTGTTCATCACCAGAAACACTCTCAGCAGTAAATGAATCAACTGACATGACTGACTTGATTTCAAGAGAGTTTTGTCTTGAAGTAGGGCGGTTAGAACCAATGGCACCATGTTGAGATGTACGAGAGCTTGGTGGACTTGGACGACCTGAAAGACTTCCACTTCCACTACGGCCAGAATCCGAATCATTGTCATCAGCTGAGAATGACATCTCACCATCTTCAGATACAGGTGACATGCTACCTGATGCACTACCTGGTGCTCTTCGACGTTCCAATCCAGCACGAACAAGGTTGTGAACAGCACTTCGACGAGTTCGAGTAGCAAAGTTCTTGGAACCCTCAAACTTGGCAGTTGGTTTAGATTTCAACTCTTCAATAGGTGGTGGACCACGTGGTTGTCTGACTGGATGTTCACCAGCACGTCCTGCACCTGGACCGAATCCTGTCTGGATTGGAGTACCTGGGAAAGTAGACTTTGGTAATCCAGCAGTTTTTGGGCCATCCATAGAAAGCTCACCAGACATAGACATAGCCATAGACTTTGAGTTACGATGTCCTCTACGAAAAGCACCAGCAGATGGTGGAGGCAATGGAGCATGATCTTGTGGTGGTGATGCAGATTTCTTTGGTGGACTGATTGATCTCGTAAAAGATGGTGCATCAGATTGTGGTGGTGGAGAAACTTGGAATCTTGGTGTACCAGGTTGTTGTGGTGGAGAATAGTTGACCCTTTGTTCAATTGGTGCCTCGGCATATTGTTGACTGTTGTCCATGAAGTAGGTTTGTTGTCCAGTCATCGGGTTGTAGTATGAGTAAACGCCAGGCTGAGCCCCGGGAACAGGTGTGATGATCGGCTGCATGTTTTGCTTCATTTGCTGTTGGTGATACATTCCCATGTTTTGTGGGGTGATTGGTGGAGTTGCATACTGTCCATTCAAACTCATTTGTTGAGCGGCAGCTTGAACGTTCATCAATTGTTGTTGAAGACGTTGTTGTTGTTCTGCGAGATACAAATTTGTAGCAACAAGCTGAGCGTACAAATTTGGATCCATTCCATCATGCCCATCATCGAGTCGAATCTCGGGAGTCGGAAGAACTTGTTCGGGAACAGAGTACATCTGTTGTTGGTTCATTTGATGGTTTTGTTGATTGAACGGAGCATATCCTGAAGTCTTTGGTCCATTATCGGCATATCTGCTCGAGTTCATTCCATTGTTGCCGGTGTTGTGTTGAACTTGAGTTGGTGGAGCAGTTGATGGAAAGTTTGAAGAAGTAGCAGACTTTGGTGCAGTTCTTAAACCTGCAAGTAGATGAGAACGGGATGTTCTTGGAGTTGGTGCACCGTTGTCTTGAGAATCGAGAGTCTTGGCAGTGGGTTCAAATGAGAGACGTTTAATGTTGGAACCATTAGCTGCTCTTCTAGCAGCGAAACCAGTAACGGGCATACCCAAACCATTACTGGAAGGGAAGTTGTTGTAAGACATCTGAGCAAGACCGCCTGCGTCCATTTTGATGTTTTTTTGTTTATACAAATCGAATGGGATATTGTAAGTTTGGGTGTAAAGGTAGGAATCGATCGATTCGTAGATTCGTGAAGGATCAATTATCGAAGAGAATGTATTCGTGCCGATGAATTGATCGTGTAAGGATTGTCAGGTCGACCTGCGTAAGGGACGAGAACGGTATTAAGATAAATTAAGATGATTCGAAAAGAGATATTATCGAATGCGTAGTGTACGTAAAGTCGAAGGAGTTTCGATGTAATTATGTTGTTTTGCGTTGTAAAATGTAATTCTGTAAAAAGAAGCTCGAATGTTGTGATGGTGAGATGAGGTGGTGGTGAAAAAAAACAAAAACAAAGGCAAGCCTTTTCTTTTAACACAAGCAACAAACAATTCGTCGTAATGAGAGATGAAGTGTGTGCGAGAGAATGAAGGTTAATCGAAACGATTCTTCTCGAAGATGTGAAGGGATTTTGATGATTGAAGAGATAACTTTTTGATGGGTGAATCCAAGAAAAGAGTTGATGATTCTTCAAGGTAAACAAAACAAACCCGAAAAATCCGAACGGTGAATGTGAATAAGTTTGTATTTTCTCGGTCGCGGACTGATAAAAATGGCCTGGCCTTGTCAAACTTGAGTTTTGAATTCTTTTTTTCTTCTTCTTCTTCTTCTGGTATCGACGACGATGATGAGTTGATTTCGCTTTTTGATGGGAATATTACAGAGTTTGGGGATTGAATGCGTTGTATGTAGTATCTCTACTTGATGGAAAGAAGATGTGAAGAAGGAAGTGATATCTCAAAGTAAAGTCAAAAGACGAAGACGACGACGACGACCACAACGACAACAAAAAGCTTTGATTTAGAAGGAAGTCTCGAGTGAGAAGAAATAAAAAGTAAGTAGAAGATTTTTCCTCCAGTTGAAAGGATTGTCGAAGGACTTTAAATTCTTTTTCGGAGGAAAGAAAGAAAATGGTAATAATAAAATTGAAATTGATGTGTGTTTGTGTGTGTGTGTGTGTGTGTGTATACGAAGTATGAGTGAATAAGAGTGAAGAGTGTGGAGAAATAAGAGAAGGTCTGGGACTCTGGGTGGATGATGAGTGAAGTTGGGTGGATGAGGAATTAGTTGAGTTTAAGTGTGAATGGTCGAGTGAAGGTAGGTGCGTACAGTAGCGGCTTTATTATGCGTGTGGTGCTGCTTGATGTATGTGTATGTATATGTAAGTGAAGTATACCTAGCTAGCTTGGGTACTTGGGGGCAAGGGTAGTTCGAGGGCGAGAAAAGATAAAAGAGAAGAGAGAAGAGAGAAGAGAGAAATAAGAAGAGAGAAGTCAGAAAAGTCCAAGTGCCAAGTGTACGTGTGTGTGTATATAATAAGTGCTGTGCGTATTTTGGACGGTAGTTTTATGGAGAAAGAGGGAAAAGATGAACCAATCGAATCCAATGCTCAATTCAGAATAATGCCTTGAATAAATTGAATTTCCATCAAGAAAAAAAAAAGGGCTCCATCAATCAACAACAAAGCACAACCCGGAATGGTACTTTTTTAAGTCTAGATGTGGTATATTTATCGAGTTCAACGCGTGAAGACGGCAGGCAAATAGCAGTAGACAAAAGAGGCGAATGGAATGGAACGAACGAGGGGGGGGGAAGAAAAGAGTACAGTATTTCAATGTCAATAACTAACTAACCACCAAATAACTAACTAATCAAGAAAGGAAGAAAGAAATCCTTGTTAAAGTTCGATATTTGATTGTTCTTCTTTATGTATTGGTGCCTATCTATATACGGAGTACCTATCGATCGAGACTTTATAAGAAAGGAGACGAGGATATATTATCGATACTAGGTCATAAGAGAAGTCCCGAAAAGTATCTGAAGATTCGAATTCCAGAGTCAGAGATCCCCAATACCCAAATCCAGGAAAGCAACGAGATTGACCTCTTTCTCGATGAGCCATGAAATTCGATCGACTCTATTGAGCGAATGAGATTAACGAATTAGTCTTCTCATGTAGAAGGCAAAAAGAGGCGTTCCAATGAACGAGACGAGATGTTGATTAGGTTTACCTCTTTTCTTTAAACTTACATCTCCATCTCCCATATCCCAATAATGAACGCTCGCTCGACAGGTCCCCCCTTCACCAAAGTTAAAGATAGTGTAACAGGGTAGACTCTGGTTACATCTTGATCTTTTTTTTTCTCACATCCACTCTTCCTCATTGGGTCACGCAGGCTATTCAGAAAATCCGAAAGTAGCGAAAAAGTCTTTGCTCTAGAGTGAGCATGGATAATCTCTTAGTAGGTTTGATCAACAAAGATACCTGGTCGTACTTGGGAATAATTCAAAGGGACCACTTTGATTTTTAATTTAAAAAAAAGAGCTGATGTGGGGGAATCTTCCGTCTACTCTTTGTCGCAGATTTTGTTGGTGCAAGTGATAAAAAGTCTTTATCAATCTCTTGTTGGTCTCTCTCTGATGGAGGTGGTGTGGAATAGAAAGAAACGTGGAATGGGATGCTATTTGGTGAAGAACGATGAAAAGGGCGGTGTGGTGCGAAGTAAGGGAAAAGCTACTCGACATTTGAAAATCGAAATCAGAATCAGAATCAGAATCAGAATCAGAATCAAAATCAAAATCAAAATCACAATCACAATCACAATCGAGTCTCGAAGGTTTGATTGGCATGAATATTGATGTTCGATGAGCGAGGGAGGGAAAAGCCTCGTTCAGCTAACTTTAGCAGTTTTCTAGACATCTAATTTAAATGGGCTAGATTCCAAAGGGGAATCATTAAGATCCTTTTTTTTGTTGACATGATCATCTAAGATACCTGGTGCCACGAAAACCATATTGACAGGTTCCCACTTCGATTAATTGGTTACGAATCTATTACAATCGTTTCTTGCGAGTGAGTCGATTTTTCAAGGTTCTGGAGCCAACTTTCAAGACGAAGACCAGAAGAGAAACGAGGGCACCACCTGGGCAACCGAAGATACCGTAAAATGGTTCAAAAGTGTAAAGCACTGCGTACGAGAAGTGACTAATGGTGACTAGAAAGAGAACCGCACGTACGGGTACAACGGGTGCGAAGTAGATGAATTTCCAAAGGGTAGTAGAGTTTCACGGCAAGAAGGGTACATCCTTCGAGCCCCTCGACCGTTTGACGGGACCGATGAAGTGGAATCCAGGGGACGAAGCCTATTGCATAAATTTCGTATGGTGCTTGAAGTTGTGATGAACCCTAAATCTCAACTTATTTCTAGCCACTGAAAGCGCTCAAACACAAGCTTCCTCTAACTAAATCATTATCCCATCCAGCAAGACTTGACCTAGAACGCTCAATATCTCATCTCACCTAATCATTCGTCTCTGTATATCCTCCGTAATGTATATATATCAAAGTCAACACCATCCCTTTCGAGTCTCCACTCCCGTACCACCAAAACGCGTACATATCGCGTGTCTAATAAGTCTGCAATCCATAAATCTAATCAATTTTCGCACTGGTCTTACATCCACCTCGATTCCCAACTAGGAGTTTTTACTATACTATTCGGAGCGCTGTGCCACAATCTTGCTTGATGGTGGATACACCCACATCTTTGGAGTCATATTTTTTGCAAACCTTCCTGATTGTGAAGGGGAACACGAAAAGGTCTTGATCGATACCTGGAAAAGAAGAGGATCCTCTGCTTCGTACACGGCATTACTTTGCCCAAGGTCTCACAACCGGTACATGTCATTGCTGATTTGTATCTATCAGCTCAATCCATCAATCTAATCACTATCAAATTAAGAACTATCTATCTATCCATCTATCGATCATTGCGATTCGCATGATGATGACAATATCTTGCAAAGCCTCTCCGGATTATCCATCATGGAGCCTAGAATTGAGCAGTGCTTGAGAATCCATATTGCAAACGTCTTGCCAATCGTGCAAATCCAATCTATCCGAGTAAAAACAAGGACAGTCAATGGAATATCCCAAAATGAAAGCCTGTAATAAAGCTTAACTAGTATGTCGAGCCTGAAAAGCTGGTCCCCTTCTCCACATTCATAATGTACACGAAGCATCACGACGACGCGTGTGATCAATGATTTGAGTGTGCGGTGCCAAAACATCTAATCTAATCCATGTTTTTTACCCAAGTGATCCTGCTGGCCTACTGGCACATACCTAGGGATTTGTGTAGTGAGGTTCTAATCAATGCTTTCTCTTATGTTGTACATCTTGGTAACTCTCTTGGTAACTCTCTCGGTAAAAATAACCAATAACTCTGTTCTGGATAAATTCAAAATTCATGTAGGTAGGAAATTATTCGAATTAAGGTTATCATTCTTCCTGGAGAATTGCCATTCCCTCCCAACGTCCCCTTTTTCATCACACCCTCAATTCGCATTACATATCCTCATTCGCAAACCGCGCCAAGTTCAAGCAGCCACCAGTGATCAGTGACCAGAATATCTACTTCCTAGACACCAATTACAAGTATCCCATCCTCCGGCTGTTTCCTTCATCTTGGATCCATGCAGAATGAAGAAACCGATCAGTTCATTGGATGCCGCAATCCCTCAGGGCTGAAGCGTTCTTCCCAATTCCAATCGTTCAGATTTCATGCACACACATGCATCTCGCCATCTTCCATTGCATTTGACATACCCAGACACGAGGTTACCTAATCCAAAATTATTTATGCCCATGAACAAACTTCCACTAGAAACCTCTGCCGTGAACCCTTCCGAAATATGCAAGTGAGTAGGTAGGTAGGTGAGTAAGTTCATCGCTTCCGCGAAAACAATCGACATACATGCATCCCAAAAACCCAGCCAGAAACACCTCTCAACCTCGTATTTGTCGATCCATCCAATCCATTCATCATCATCGCCTCTCCTCCCCAATCCCATTTTCCTTCCCGCGTCTACGTCCAGAATGTCCCATCAAATCATCCACCCTTTGCTTCCTCAGCAAGTGCATCAAAAAGCGCGAGGCCCATGCATCTCATCAGGGGTAGCACCGCTCCATATTCATATTCCCGCAGCAAATCTTCCGCGAACATCAAGGCTTCAGAGCCAATCATTCCCGCTTACATGTTTTCATCGTTCTTTCCTCATGCATTTATCCATCCACCAGCGCTTAGAGCCTCCAATCCGTGATGGGAAATGGTACTTGGGTGTCACGCTTGGTGTACTCTGTAGGTAATTATTCGGTATTTGGATAGATGATTTTGGAGGGCGTTGTGATGAACTATGGAATATCTTATTAATGATTGGATGGTCGCATATAGGTCGTTTGGATTTCTTTCGGTAGGTAGGTCCCTGGTGCATATCGCATGATTATCTGCTGTACTTCGTAGCTCCATGTGTATTCCAAAGTACAGAATGAGAACCCTCACCTCACAGATACACTCACTATACCATTCAGTAACCCAAACCCAATCGTTTGATTTCCTCTTCGAGCTCCCAAGCCTAAGAAATACCTATCTAGCACCCATCAAATTTTCACAATCTCACACCTGCCCGAGTACCTTCCTCCCTCCCTCCCTGACCACCACATCCTACTCCTGAATACTAACTAAACTGACTAATCCTCACATTAAAGGCTAGGTCTCTCTCTCTCTCACACACATATTCATAAATGCAAGACCCTGGTCACCTCCCGTCTCCCGTCTCAGACATAATGACAGCGATCTACATCATGTACATGGTACTTCCCTCCCTAAACCCGTCCTTCTGGTTCCCTTCCCTGCCAAGAAGCCTGACTAGACAAATTGTGTACCGTATGTGAGTATTTATTTACATCATCTATAATTGTCGTGGTATGATTTGTATTCAGAGAATATCTACGAGGTAGATACGAAGTAGTATGCAATGGGATTTTTGTACATTGCTATGTAGAAAGGAGATTGGAGATTAGAGAGAAACAGAAAGAGAAACAGAATTGGAGCAGGTAATCATATACACGAAACTGGTGAGTCGTGGTGAGAGTACGTATCGTCTTGTGTGTAGTAGTTATAGTGATGACATTGAGAAAACTTTGGGTCTTTCTTTGGATTGGTGTATATGTGCACTGTGTGGTGGGTAGGAGGGAGGGGGATTCTATATTTAGATACTTGTAAATAGATAGGTTAAGTTATTTTTTTTTATGGTATTATATGGTATCGAACTGCTCAGTTAATCGATTTGTTTCCTGTAATAATTTCTGTATTTTATCTATATTACCATCTAGCGAGGTAAATATCTTTCGAGACGAATCTGAGGAAATAAAATACTAAATAAGAAATAATAAATCGAAATCTTCAAAACTGTAAACCCAAAATCTAAAATCCCCATCACATACCAACCCCCTCCCAAACCCCCCCAAAAATTCAAAACACGCGCATCAATCTTCAGATTAATCCGCGACGACTTTCCGTATTTCTAAAGATATCCCCTCTCCCCTGTTTTTCATCCGTGCGTGATGGGTTGAGCAAGTAAATCTGGTATGTACGAAGAGATATATGCAGTTCGAGAATATGAAACGTGACGCTGGGTATTGATGATGTATCTTCGCTTCGCATGAAAGAATTAGAGGTTTGAGGCGCGGATATTACTACTTGGGGTTGGGGGATAGTAGTAGCATGTTATGAGGACACAGCCTTATCCGCTTTTAGGACTGGGTTGGTGAGGGAAAGCGTTATGTGTCTTGTTGACATCTTTGAAATTTGAAGCAATGGGTTGGAAAGTTGTTTGATAGCTTGCGAATCTAGCGGATCTAGGGAGTTTCATATGAGAGAGAGGGAGTTTGAGGATTTTTTTGACTCGCTTGACTTGACTTGCTTTGATGGACTTGATGGACTTGACAGGTGCCGTGACAAAGTTTAGATGAAAATTGAAATTGTTCCAGAATACTCTCTCTACCTTTGCAATCTACGGTCGAGATACTTTGTGAGAAATCAAGGATGAGCTTGTTTTGTAAAATATAAATAAGTGTAAATAAATCCAAGTACCTACATCGTAGGATACGAACTGATAACGTCGATCTAGCATTATCGATATGAGGATCTGCGGTTCTGGAGACGGGGGAGGGAAGGGATTCTAGAGAGATTCTAGAGAGAAGAAATTATCTGGAAACGAGGATTGGGATTTGGATTGAGAGTGGGAAATTGGGATGTGCGGGTTTGGGAATTGGGTATGGGGGTGCTGCTTGGTGGGTTGGAGTTTATTATATTGAGGGTAT